TMMWAYGYYYAAKKAWRKWTTWWWWTRRTTTTTATATTTCTGTGTTTCTTGAGCCTCATTTGCAAGCTGAGTGTCTGTGTATGAAAAGTAACCCATTCAAGTAAATGTGTTTTAGTCAGGATGGCCAAGAATCTTTAGCACACTCACTCCTTTTCTCATTATTTTAATTGCATCAAGTCGCCTTACTGAGTACTTTTAACACCCATAAGGGCTGTGACCTTTAAAAACAAATTTAGAAACTCCTCTTTTTGTCCCCTCTACTAAGTAAAAGTTTTCAGCGAGCAGCGTGCTGCGAGATAACTTAACCTCGATGATAGCGCTAACAATAACGATCACGCAACGATAACAACGAATATGATCTTTCCCTCCAGGTTGGCGCGTGGACGTCATTTGCTGTGATGACCCAGACTTTGTCAGGTGGGTGGTGGCTGAGTTGGGTAACACTATCAGCATCTTTTTTCTTTTCCAGAAGACTTGAATCTTTGAACAAAGAGGTCCAAAGCCAAGTTTCGTACAAACGCGTTTTCGAACGCGAACTGTGCGCGTAGGCGCGTTTACTTCTGATTACGCTCACTTCGAATTTTACCATTTTAGCATTCTTCAACAGAGGGGTCTCTGTGGGTTTGGTAATTACCGTGCTAGACTCTGTGTCAAGAGGCCTGGGTATAAGCCTTGGCTGAGTCATTGGGTAAAACACATTGCTTCTTTCTACACAGGAGTTCACATTTTTACCGGTAAACGGTAACAGAAATTTGGCAAAATGCTTCGAGAGAGGGGGTTGGGGGGTAACCTGCTGTGGTCTCACATCTCATTCAGGGAGAGCAGCAATGTTCCTAATCGGGTAATGTTTTGGAAAATTGCTTTGAGCTCTTGCACAACTGGAACCGTGCCCTAGCCCGTAGAGAAACCGTTTTCTCCACGACGGCGGTATGGTAGGGCTAGATGAGCGCCCACTAAATTTGCTTCTCGACTCGAGCGAGGACTATTTTTTTAATAAGTTTTCTTCTGTTGCAGTTGTCCTCTTCCTCTTGGCCGGATTTTATCAGATGTCTGTTTGGGCAATGGGCAAACATCGAAACTATCGGAAGGAATTTAAAGATTATCCCAAAGGAAGAAAGGCGATTTTGCCTTTTCTGTTGTAAAAATGGAGAAATATTCTTTCGTAAAAGATGAACAACTGTCTTGTTGGGATTGTTCTAATGAGAAACCAAAGATAAAACATTTCACCTCTAAGGTTACCACAAAGGACCGCGGAACGATGAAAAGAGAAAAAAATACCCAACTTTGGGATATTATTTGAATTAACACTTAAGTTCTCGCAACTGAAATTGGAAGAAATGTGAAGGAAACAGTAAATGGAGCTATAACTTAGATCTTGAGGTGAAAATGTCGTAGATAATACCTGGAGACATTGTGTGGTGAAATTTTGTTGATTCCTGGGTAATATATATTAAATTTTGTGGAAATATAGTCTTGATGTTTTATTCGTTTGGTATTTAGAGTGCACTTGGATGGAATATTTGGGATGAACGACCAATCAGATAAAAGAAAATTATCACGAGAGCTACGAGTGACTGAAGGGAAGGAAAACGCTAATGATCAAGTTCCGTTTAGCTTAAGTTTTGAATCTGATTGGTCAAGAGGGAAACGCGAATTTTCTGGGCCAATCACGACATATTGAAGGAAAACCTCTTTTAAACATGGAGTTGCATGATGCTTCATGGGTTGCATGATGAACGCTTTACGACTCGACCCAAACCTCTCTTAACATGTCACTCCTTTACTACTTTTGGATTGTTTTCGCGCTCTGTGCCGCCATTCATCCTGACTTCACTCCGTGTTACGAATTGAAAGCCAGGAACAAGCTAACTAATATAAAATTGGTTTCTTTAGTAAAAGGATTGAGTATCACGCAATGTCGTTGTGTGACGTCCAAAAGAAAATGATCTCCAGACTCCCAGCGGAAACGTTCATAACAGATCATCTTCCAGCAGAACTAAGTTCTAGTTCTAACCAAGCTAAGTGGATCGATCGACCGACCGTGAGGAACTTGTGGCCGCCCTTCTCGTCAAAATGGCATCTTCTAACGCTAAGGAAATCAAGACTATGAAATTATGTAAGTCTGACTTAATTCTTAGCGAGGGGAACATTGGGATTTTCGGTTTTGCGTTTTTGGCTATTTTTTAGATCAGTTTTTGTGCTCAAAACGTTGGTTTTTCGGTTTGTTACTCATTGCAGTTTGCGGATTTTCCTTTGTTAAGCATTTGTTTTGCGGCTTTCGCGAAAAATACTAACGGGTTTTCGGTTTTTCTTATTTGACCGATTTGGGTTTCGGTTTCTCTTCGATCTGAGCGGCAATCACGCGCCTCCACTGATCTAGAACAGCCGCTAAACGAAAATGTTATTGAGAGGAATGCGTGACAAACCAAATTGAAATATCGCAGGGATCGCTAGGGGGTTCACGCGTCTTGAGTGACGCCCTAGACTTCGACCTCGCATTGTGGAGGATGTAGGTCATGGCGGATCAGTTTGCGAACCATGTCTTCTAACGTGCTAAACGCGCCGGCAACGGAAGAAGGTCAAGGACCTTAAGAGGCAATTGTGGATTGTGTCGCGTTTTTTTATGAAGTGGGGGAAGGCGGCGAGAATTTCAGAAAGAAAAACAAGTTTAGATGCAAAGTAAAAGAGGAAGAGAGAAGCTAATGCACAAGCATAAAAACAGTGTTTGGTAAGTCAATCATACCAATGTCATTATTTACATTACAATAGCTTAATCGCTGTACGCCCGTGCGTACAGCTGAAATCTGGAAAAAAATTGTTTTCACTTAGGCTAAACTTCAAAATGTTCGCTCCGACGAAGGGCTAACGCTCGAAACGTCAGCTTTTATAATCGTAACGGTGGCCAATTTACCATTTTAACTTTGTTGATATATTCAAATTATTTCGTTACCCCCACCTACACAGCCCCAAACAGTTTCTTTAGAAACTATCAGCTTTTAAACTTCAAAATACCCGGCTACTGAAAAATCATTCATCAAATCCTGCTACCGCAGTACCCCAGTCGACATGCTTTACCTATTATCTGCATTAATTAAACATCAGAGTTAGTATTGAGGTTCGTCTCTCGATACGAACGGATGCCGACGATATTAAACATCACGAAATATGCCGCTTGCATCATCTGCGTTAGCATAATTACTCAGGTGATTATAGAAATTCTCGCGCTCTTATTGGTCGAGAATGGCGTCATATTCCGTTATAATCACCTCTGGCGAGGTGATTATAGCCGGAGGACAAATTTTCAAAATGGCCACTTCGCGCTTTGTCGATATGTCTGAAGAGGAAATTAATTTAAGGAAAGAAAATGCCATTCCGAGGAATACCAAACACGCCACAAAGTTTGGAATGACACTCTTCAAAGATAAGGTGTGAAAATTGTGCTAAACCTAATAAAGAAACCATTTACATTCCCGTGAAAATTTTTCTTATGTCGACATGCATGAATAATTCATAACAACTACATTAAATTTTCGCAACACTTTATTCACTTAACAGAATGGTCTCCACAACAAACCGAATTTACCACTGACTTTGAGGCAATGGTGGTCAATGAGATGAATAAATGTTTGTCAAAATTTTATGTCTCAGTCAGGAGGAAAGACGTGACTTTTTAGAAGAGAAATAGTCTGTTGTCCGTGCGAGCGGCTCTCAATCGCCATCTGAAATCACCGCCTTACAACAAAAAATTTTTGCTCAATTCTATAATCACCTGAGTAATTATACTAAATCAATTATTTGCCTCAGGCTCGTGAATATTTAACAATTCTTCCACGATCGCACATTGGATATGAGATGATAGATAGTCGACAAGGCACCAAGCGCCAAGTCGGCTATAATCATCTCATATCCAACAAGTGTGAGTGGAATAATTGTTTTATTAAAAAAAACACCCCCAAGATATTAGACAAATCTTCTTGACTTTATTTTGTAAGAAACTGGATGTTACAAAGTACAGATATTAGATTATGGTATAATTATTGGCTCATATACCATAATCGCTAAGCCAATAAAAATTTTTGAATTGTATTATCCAGTGATCCAGTTTTTAATAATGGTGATCATTAAAAACTGGATCATTGGATAATGCAATTCAAGACATTTTATTGGCTTAGCCGTTATGGTATGTGAGCCAATAATTATACCATAATCTAATATCTGTACCATAATCTACAAATATGTTAAGCGTATGCATCAGCTTAAAATTCAAAGGGAGCTAAAAAACTTAAGATTTGGTAAGATTTGTCTAATATCTCAGAGGGGTTTTTAATAAAACAATTATTCCACTCGTGCTTGTCGGATATGAGATGATTATAGCCAACTCGGCGCTATGCGCCTCGTTGGGTATCTATCATCTCATATCCAACGTGCCCTCGTGTAATATTTGTTAAATATTCACTTCGCCTTCGGCGAATAATTGTTAATTAGTATCATTTCAGAGCTGAGCAAAGAGTTTCCAGCAATCTGATTGGTCGAGCGGTTCCTTATATGACGCTATATAAACTGCTCCACGTGATTTATATAAAATGTTAAAATAAAATGTTAATAGATGTTACTAAAATGTTATGATTTTAGAAATTTCTCTGTTGGTCAGCTCTGAAATTATACTAATTAAAAGCAATTATTCGCCTCAGGTTTGGTGAATATTGTCAAATAATCAATGAGACGAAGTCTCGGGGATTATTTGATGTTATTCACCTTGCCCTCAGCAAATAATTGTTAATTAGTGTCTGTTCCATGGCGGGGAAGCAACAAAAAAGAAAAAGAGAGCTTATTGGACCTTGAGAGAGCAGCTAAAATAAAGCCCATAATTTAAGCAGATACTAGAAGCTACGAATGCCAAGTGTGTGGCACTCACAAATACTGTTGTAACAAAATTAGTGTGGTTTACTCTGTATGCTCCATTTGTCACCACTGTATCGGATTGATCAGGGTTTTAATAACTGGGATGCGAAAATGTATCGGTTTTGACAGTTCTGGATGCAGTTTTCAGTTTTGATTGATTTTTATTTCGGTTTTTTGGTTTTGGATGATTTTTTAGCGGTTTTGCAGTTTCTAATAGGCTCCAATGCCCCCCTCCTTAGCCAAATCCAAGATCTCAGAACATATCTTGTCCTTGTCTTGTCCTTGTACTTGTCTTTGTAATTAATATTGTAGTCCTATGCCAGCTGAATTCCCATGCACAGTTTGCAGATTTAATATCCATGATAATCACCGGGCAATTTTCTATGATAGCTGTCATAATTAGGCACACCTTGGATGTACTCTTTTTACCAGACTAGAATACAGTGCTATGTCTAAATTGAGTGATGACTGGTACTGATCAGCAGGTCTGGCTAGTATTTTTCCCCTGCATTCAATCATTTCGGCAATGATATTGATTTCTTCTTTGCACTGTACGATTTCAATTTTTAGGGTGTTTCTGACACAAGAAATTCAACCCTTTTTTTGATGACCCTGAGACATCTTATTTATTAATGAACTCAAACCTTGATCCCAACACTAACTTTTTTGCAGCTAATTCACAATTACTTTCTAACTGCCTCTATCTAACCTCCACAGAATTAATAAAATATCACCACCTTGTCCTGATACATTTCCTCACTTTATGCTAATATTTGTAGTCTACCTAAACACCTTGATGACTTATCAGAATTTCTGCCTACATTAAACTGGTTTTTCTGTATTATTGCTGTTTCTGAAACCTGGTTACATAGGTCTAATTCTGATTTATTCCATTTGCCTGGCTACCATTTTATCTCTAGTCACAGAGAACATAAAGCGGGTGGTGGCAGGGTTGGTATTTTTATTCAGTGTCACTTAAAATTCAAGCTTAGAACTGATCTCCAATCCTCTGATTATGCTCTGTATGAATCAGTCCTTGTTGAAATTATACAACCACACAGAAAGAATATCATTGTTGGCTGTTTTTATCGACCCCCTGATGCCTCGGTTACTGAGTTTAACAACTCTCTTGCGGGCATCTTATCAATTATCGGCTTTGAGAATAAGCTATCTTATCTCGTGGGCGATTTTAATATTAATATCCTTAATTCGCAATCCCACCAACCTAATTAGTTCATCAATCTTATGTTATCTAATAGTCTATATCCCTTGATTTCTAAGCCAACTCGCATGACTTCCACAACTGCAACTCTAGCTGATTGATACAAATATATATTTACAAATAATCTTGAACACTGTATGAATAATGGCATTTCCTACTCTCATTTATCTGATCTGAGATCTCCCAATTTTCCAAGTAACTCATCTAAAATTAGATGCTGAAACACCTTCCAGAAAGAGATTGGCACACCTCATTAACTTTGCAACAGTTGCAGCATTCAGGTCTAAATAGGCCATTTTACAGTTGTGTACTTAGTAGCCAAGCCTTTGATTCAGAGTGAGGCTGAAGGTGACCTTGTTGTGATAGAGACCTGTATCTACTTAGCATGATAACAAAGTGATTTACATTTGAAAGGCAGCAAGGTTTGTATCATAACAAGGTCAACCCTAGCCTCACTCCCATTCAAAGGCTTGGCAACCAAGCACACAACTGTAAAATGGACTATTGGAAACCATTGATTGGTCTGTTATCTATAACTCTGACTCCCCCAATGATTCATATGACGCATTCTCTAGTCTTCTTATTTCAGCATAATTATCATAAGTCATTTCCACTTAAACCTGTATTCCTTGAATCTGGGCATGCTTCTAAACCCTGGTTTTCTACAGGTCTTTTTGTATCCTGTAACAGGAAGAACTCTCTTTATAAACAATTCCAAACAAACCCTAATGAATCAAATGAAACTAGATAAAACAAGAATCAAAATAAGTACAATTCTCTCATTAGAGTTGCTAGGAAAAAATATTTTCATGACAAACTAGTCTCGGTTAGCTCAGACCCGAGGAAGACTTGGTCAGTTATTAAGCAGATTATTTTTAAAAAGAAATCTGAGCAACATTTTTGTAATAATTTATGAAAGACAGTACCAGTGTATGTTCAGACCCTTCACGTATTGCTAGTAACTTTAATAATTTCTTCACTAACATTAAGGACCCTCTTTGGCCAGTAAAGTTCCATCTACTCAATTTTCTTATAAAGATATCCTTGTTGGTCACGTTTGCTGATTGTTTCTTTCTAAATTGCACTTCTCCTGATGAGGTTGCCTCTATTGTTCATGGTCTAAAAAATAGCAAATGTGAGGGTGTGGATGGTCTTTCTATGTCTCCCATCAAAGAAACAATTGATTTGCTTGCTACTCCTTTATCTCATATTTGCAATCTATCGTTTGAGCATGGTGTCTTTCCTGATAAACTCAAAATCGCAAAGATTATCCCAGTTTTTAAAAGTGATGACCCATCTTTGTTCTTGAACTATCGGCCTATTTCAATTCTCCCCTGTCTTTCTAAGGTTCTCGAGAAACTTTTTTACCTCAGGTTATCAGGATTTCTCACAAAGTTTAATATCCTTAATCATTACCAGTATGGATTCAGACCACATCACTCTGCTGCTATGGCCATCTTAGAACTTGTCAATAATATTTATGATGGTTTTGATAACAATCAGTACACTGTTGAAGTCTTCATTGATCTTAAGAAAGCATTTGATACAGTTCGTCATGAAATACTTTTGCCGTGAGTGCAGAACGATTGTGCTTTGAAAACGTTTCACACCGTTGAAGTTCGACACCGCGTGGCATTCGACTTTTAACCATCCAGCTCAAAAAATGAGCACTTTTTCGTCTAGAAACTCCGGTTGGGCAGCTGAGAGGCTACGAGAGATCGACCAGGTGAGACAATATTAGTAATCCAAAGCTACTCAATGGGGCAGTTTGTGTCCATATTGTGAACAAGTGGCAATTCCTCTTCAAACATTAGCTATCGTCTAGTAGATTGTTTACTTTTTATGGCATTAGAGGTATCCTGGCTGACTAGCTATTTGTCCCACAGACAGCACTGCATTGTGGTCTACAACCATACCTCTTCATATAATCTGGTCGTTTGTGGAATTCCCTAGGGTTCAGTTCTTGGACCTTTACTTTTTATTTTATACATTAATGATCTTTTTCATGTCTCCAACCTCTTGTCTATCATTCTCTTTGTTGCTGATACAAATATCTTTCTTTGTCATAATGACCTGGCTACCTTAGCAACCATTCTCAATGTAGAGCTCTCTCATGTTTCTTCTTGGTTTGATGTTAACAAACTCACTGTTTATCCTGCTAAGTCTAAATTCATCATTTTTACCCTTGATGTAAACAAATTAACTCCTCAAATAGAAACATATTTATAAATAATTCTCTCATGATGTGTGTGCAGGAAGACAAATTTCTTGAGATTATCATTCATAAAAATGTATCTTGGAAACCGCATATATCTGTTGTCTGTGATAGAGTCTCTAAAGTAATAGGAGTCTTGTGCAAGTCAAGGCGATACTTACCTTTGAATACTTTGAAAACCTTATATAATTCTCTTTTCTTACCTTACATAAATTATGGCAGATTAATATGGGCATCTACTTAATATGCTTCTTACCTTAAACCCTTTATGTACTTCAAAAGAAAGCCATTCGTATAATTACTTATTCTCCTCCGCACACATCCTCTAAACCCCTTTTTTCTAAGCATAATATTCTTTCACTTTACTCTATTTCTAAATTTCATGTTGCCTGTTTTGTATTCTCACATTTTAATAACCTTTTACCTGCTCCTGTTTCCTCAATGCTTCATTTTAATTCTGAATATCACAATTATTTGCCTTGTTCACGTTTTAACCTGCATAAAACCTGTCATAAGTATCAATTTGCCATCACTTGGCAAGCTCCTATTATTTGGAATGATATTCCGTTATCAGTACGCAATAATCTCACATTAAGTAACTATAAAAAAACCCAAGACTGTATTTTTCTCTGAGTAGTTAATTAGCCTATGCATAATCTGTATACCTTATGGGACTATATTAGGTGTATTTGTTTGTGTGGTTTATAGGAATTTATTATTAGTTGTTTAAATATTTAAACTAGTTGCCAAGTATTGTATCTCAATCGTAAGTTTTTTTTTCTGACTGACCTTTTCTTTTTTGGTTTAACTGCATGTATTGTAATTATTTCAGTTAAAGCTTTCTTCGACTCCTGTAAACTCTTCACGTCTTTTTTGCTGACCTTAGGCCATTTAAGCCCCAGGCTTTGGCTGTTCTTGTGTATTTTTTCTTCCAATGTGTGAATAGCAAGAATAAAGAAAGAATAAGTCGAACCATAGTCTTGATCATGTGAACGATCATGCGAGTAAACCTTTTTAAACATATCCAGAGCTTGTGGGTTGGTGACTGTGTATTCTGGATGAAACCCATCACACCGAGAATGTGTTTCTTTAGAGAAATGAGATCATATTTACTTTTGGTGCTCTCAACCGATACATTGGTCAATATATCAGTCGAGAGTCGGTCGATACTCGACAGATTATGTTGGTCGACACTCGGTTGAAACTCAGTTGACACTCAGTCGATATTTGATCGACACTAACACAATAGTGGGTTGATATATTGATGGACTATCAACTGAGTGTCGACTGACTATCGACCGAGTGTCGACTGACTATCAACCAAGTGTCGACTGACTATCCAGTGTCGACTGATTATCGACCAAGTTTCACTCAACATATCGGTAGAGTATCAACCGACTCTCGACTGATATATAAGTCAATTGCACCTATAGTAAACCTGATCCTCTTCGACTTACAACTGAGTGAGAAGGAGAATAATATTGAATGGACTTAAGCATGGACTTAAGAGGAATGGTAATCGTCCCCTCCTTGGAAAAAAGGGAACTATAATTTTCACCAGTTGTGTGAGAGAATCTTGTATGTTATGTTTATTTGGATTAGTTTTAGATTCTTCTTTTTGATCTGCTTTTTTTCTTGTTTCTCAACCTTTCCTCTCCTTTCCCTTTCCAATTACTGGCACTCTCTCTCTGCTTCCATCGTCACAGTACTTATTAAGTGCCAATGATGGCTGGGACATCATTTGATGTAAATGGGGCAAGCTGAGAATTCAAATATGAATATCTCTTGCATTTGTTTCCTTGCACTTGTTTTCCACTTGTCGGTCTATGTGAGGTATTGGATACAGTTCCATGGCAGTATGGATACAGATCATCTGTTAGGTACTTTCTAAGTGTGCCGTGAAAAGGTATGCTTGTTTCATGCAAGTGATTCATATTATTAAAACCTGGATCATTGGATAATGCAATTCAAGAATTTTAATTGGCTTAGCCATTATGGTATATGAGCCAATATACCATAATCTACAAATGTGGTAAGCGTACACATCAGCTTAAAATTAAAAGGGAACTAAAAAATTTAATAAAATTGAATAATTTAATTTAACGTTTTTAATAAAACAATTATTCCACTCGCACTTGTTGGATATGAGATGATTATAGCCAACGAGGCGCGTAGCGCCCGAGTTGGCTATCTATCATCTCGTATCCAACACGCGCTCGTGGAATAATTGTTAAATATCACCTGTAGTTTGCCACAACCTGAGAACTCGTACTCTTTCCCACTCAAGGGCTGGATCAGGGGGAATCTGCAGCTTCATGCAATCTTACCTCCCTCTTGATGCAGCGTTGCTTGATGCAGCGTTGCTTGATGCAGCGTTGCTTGATGCAGCGTTGCCAACAGTAAAGATGATTTTGGTATACATATGTGTGGTTGTCATTTTCTTAGTGCTTAGGACTATTGAAACTTCATTCATTAAGTCATGATGTATTTTCAAACTCTATTTAGTGTTGTTTTCTTATTTTTTTCTTAAATACCATTTTGAAATTTTGTAGATAGTCACATCGACAGAGTCAACAAGGAATTACAAGAGGTCAGTGTTTCTTCAACTGTTGTCAAGGTTGGATAATTTGAAAATGCCTGAGTATAGCAGGCTGTGCCAATAATAGAATGTACAGATCAGGCTAGAATAATGACTACTGAAACGATAATGACAGATAGATTAATACATATCTGTGGGTGTGTAGTATATCCAGATTTTACACAATTACAGTCATGTAAATATCCCCAGGAGGGAATGAGTGAAATACACCTGATAACAAAGAGAGAGCTGAGATGCAGTCTGAAATAAGGATTATTACAGAATTTTCCACCAGGACTCAGGTTGTTGTATTGAACGAATTATCACTTTTCTTTGGACCGAGCAGATAATCACATACATCCATAGACTTGCCTTTGGCTACAGAACTCTTTAACCCTTAAACTTCCAAGATCTGGCCCCAGTTGTTCGAAGGATAGATAATGCTATACACTGGATAAATCTCTATCCAGTGGATAACGCAGTGCGTTTTGGTAACACTTATTCGCTGGATAGCGATTTATCCATTGGATAGCGTTATCCTGATTGCTAATTCTCCCCTCTAGCTGCTACACATTTCCTTGTAAACTAGTTTTGAGAATTTGGTGTTAGATCAAGATAACAACTTCTACCTGATAAGTTTGAGTATTCTCATTACCTGTTTACTGGATAATGAACAGATATTATAAGGAGAAGTTACATGTTAATCACTACAAGGAGTTAAAAGCAGGACTCAAAATTAATGGTAACCCGTCAACTAATGGTTAGTAATTTTCAATGTTTGGTTACTAAAAATGTGTCCAACTAACCCGACATGGTTAGTAAAATTTTCTAACATATTTAAACATTGGTGGACTTCGGGACAAAGAGCACGTACACGTGACTCTCGGAGTAATAATTAGAATACTCAAGTTGTTAATTCAACAGAACCTCTTTTTAGAGAATTTGCTGTAGATGTACTGTTCTTGACTAATTATGGTAAACGAGTGGGAAATACAATAGGTGTATAATTGTTAACGTTTTTAAGGTCACTGTGCAATTTTCAGCTACTCTTTAATTTGTCCTAGTCGTTGTTATCAAAATGTTCAATCTTTGGGATATCGTAACTTGTCAGCTTGGATACCAAACTTTATAATTTGGTTAGTAAAAAAAGATGTCTACTAACCCGAAGGGTTAGTGATTCAAAAATTAAATTTGAGCCCGGTAAAGGACTAACTCCTAAGAGTGACTAGCATTTCAAATTTCTCCTGAACCAAGTATTAAGGTCATGAAAATAAAGGAAATGATTACTTTCTAAATAAGTTCTTGATTGTGTAACAAATTCTCCTTGTCAATAGTATAGAAAATGTAAAGCCAGCAGTATGAGGAATATGTTGTAAAGGGTTAATGCCCTTGTAGAAGTTAAAACACCTTCTGGTGATGAATGATGCTTTGAAGAAGGTTGAGTGGCCTAGGAAGTTAGTCTTCTAAATCCCAATTCTCCTGTTAAATTTAGAAGGAATTACAAGGGAGTTAGAAAGGAGATTTTTTCGTTGCATCTTTGGAGTGTAAGGATTAATGTTGAGATCATCAAGTTGTGTTGTTTTCCTACAGCTTGGTTACAAACCTGGAGATCCTTTGAAAGTGGACGATGTCAACAAGTTTGATCAGATGCACTATTATGGTAGCAAGGCAGTTGATGAGGCAATTAACATGCTAGGAATAAGGTAACACATGTGCTATTTCTGCCTCTCTAAAATGTGTGAGCAAATGTGATCCTGAAGAAGTGTTCAACCCTCATGGTCTAGCCTGTGTGTAGCCGCACCCTCCCTCCCTTTCATTTCTCCTTGGCAAGCGAAGGGGGAGGGGGGTGTGTGGCTGCATGTAGGCTATCACGGTTTCACTATAGATTGCGACGTTTTATGTTTTATTTTTTCTCTGTCTCCATATATTAAATCTAGGAGGTATTTTGGAATTTGATATACTCAAAAAAAAAAAAAAAGAATACAAAAAAGATATTTTATTTCTATGGACTCTTGGGGATATCCAATGGGAGGCGGCCTGGTTAAATCTTGGCAGGCCTCACACTATTACCATTTTACCAAGTTTTTCCTTGTTGTTAAGCAGTTCTGACGCTCAAGGAACTTCACTGCAGCTCCATTAGCCTCCGCAAAGAATGGTTCTGTGCAGAAATATATATCAACTTTTTTTTTTTATTTTTTCCTAAGCTCATCTCACAAGGTCCTTGATGTAGGCTCAGGTCTAGGGGGTCCTGCGCGACATTTGGCTCACACCACAAATTGCTCTGTCACTTGTCTGGAGCTTCAAGAGGATCTTCATGCAAGTGGTGAAAATTTGACAAGGAGATGTAATTTACAGGACAAAGTGACCCACATATCAGGAGATTTTCTCAAAATGGACTTAGGTCAGTGGTTGATAAAAAAATTCTTTACAGTAAATGGTTCGAGGGGAGAAGGAACAGTTAACCGTGTACCTCCCAGGATCTGATTGTCAATTCACTCCTCCAGCTGCCACACATTTTCTTGTAAATTAGTTACAAGAATTTGATATTGCATCTACGTAACAACTTCTACTAGATAAGCTTGAGTATTCTCATTACCTTTTTGCTGGACAATGGATGGATATTGTAAGAAGAAATTACAGGTTAATCACTTCTGGGGCTGAAACGGTTAACATTACGAACTACTTTTAGAACCTTTTTTTTAACGACTTCCTTTGCAAAGGTGGTTTAATTATTTGGAATAGACTACTCTCAGTGCATGTGAACAATATTCCTGTACCACACAAAAGCGACTTATACATAACATAAGCACACGTAACAGACTGATCCCACCAGCAGATTAAACCTGACCAATGACGACCGACTTACGTTACTTGAGTGTCACGGCCGATACTGACCAATCGGTTTTCTTAAATCGGACATATAAAACCCAACTAACAAAGATCTCCTTTGTCTCTGATATTAACTTCCGCTCAGGTTGTCGAAACGTCAATTGGGAGCCTCTCCCGACAACAGTCCTTTTCAGAATTAATTTGGATATATCAACAAAGTTGAAATGGTAAATTGGCCACCGTAACGATTACAAAAGCTGACGTTTCGAGCGTTAGCCCTTCGTCGGAGCGAATAGAGGAATTGTGGGTTGTGTGTGCTTTTAAAGGCAGAAAATGGAGCTACGTTATTGGTGGGAACATGGCAACGAGAAAAACACGAATAAATTAGTGGAATGAAAAGCGTTCGTTGATCCCTGTGGGATTTAGACTGCCGGTTTGAAAGATGAGCTTTTGTTCAAGAGTTTTACGGCTTTCCGTGCTACCTAAGTGTAAGGAAAGACCGCAGATTGCCATATGTTGCTTAGAATGATTAGGTAAATTAAAATGTCTAGCGACTGGTTTCGATGTGTCCTTGTCATTCCTTTCCACGTCTCGAAGGTGTTCTCGGAATCGGTCACCTAGTCTTCTGCCTGTTTCGCCGATGTATATCTTTTTGCAATAAGTGCAAGTTATGCAATAGATTACATTGGCGGAGGTGCACGTGAAGTGATCGGTGATCTTAATGGATCGTTTAGGTCCCGATATTTTATCAGTGTTGTGAATGAAAGGACACGTTTTGCATCGTGCACGAGCGCATTTAAAAGTGCCTGGTTGGTCATTAGTCTGAAAAGAACTTCTGACCAAAAAATTGCCTATGTTTTTGTCGCGTTTGAATGAAATGAGCGGAGGCTGCGAAAAGATAGTGCTTGTCTCTGGATCGTTTTGAAGTAATTTAAAGTTTTTAAGAATGATGGATTTAACTGAGTGGTTGTGAGGGTGAAACGTGAGAGTGAATGGAATGCGGTCGGAATCTTCCTTATGCGACGTTTGTAGTGCTGAATGTCGATCAATAAGTTG